ACAAGCTCTCAAGAGTTAAGAAAAATGATATAGTTTAGAATTCACATCTACATAAAGAATAGCATTAAAGAAGGAATAAAGGCAAAATATAATTCTTTTATTTTTTCGTATTTTTAATTGGTAACAGTTTGCTCAACATAATAATACCAAGAGGTGAGGCATGGTGGCTTATGCCTGTAATCCTAGCACTTCGGGAGGCCGAGGTGGGCAGATCACCTGAGGTCAGGAGTTTGAGACCAGCCTGGCCAACATGGCAAAACACTGTCTATACAAAAAATACAAAAATTAGCCACTCATGGTGGCACATGCCTATAATCTGAGCTACTCCAGAGGTTGAGGCAGGAGAATCGCTTGAACCCCGGAGGCAGAGTTCGCAGTGAGCTGAGATCGTGCTACTGCACTCCAGCCTTGGCGACAGAGCAAGACTTGTCTCAAATAAGTAATAATAATAATAATAATAATAATGATAGCAACAATGTTTGCAATGATTACAGGCACCCTAGTGTTGGCTCAATAGGCACATGAATGGAATGGTTATTGCGGCAGAGATGGGGGCTGTGTATGAGCCCCATAGCAGGGTCCCTCATTCATCAAGGATGATGAGTGCAGAACAGCACCGTCCATCAAGGACACCAGCTGGTCTGTTTGTGTCAAGTGGTCTACACTGGATCTCATCTATTCTGGAAAGAGCAGGAACTCATCTTGACTGGGCTCGACACTTATTTCAGTCATGGGTTAGCCTTTTCTGCTCGGAAAGCTTCAGCCAGAACATCTGAGTATTTATTCTACTGACACAAGATCGCACATGGCATCACATTGAACCAGAGGACCGATTTTACAGGAATGGAGGTGCAGCAGTGGGCACATGACCATGAAATCTACTGACCCTGTAACACACTGACAGAGCAAGGGAAAAGCCTCTAGAGCACAGGTGCTGGCATGATGACCAGTGAGAATACAATGCCCATGCTCCGGGATGCAGCATATGTTTCAAATGAATGACCAGTATATGGTCTGCTATCTCCTAGGTAGAACACATGGGTGTAGCACATCAAGGGTGGAAACAGTTCTTACCATAATCCCAGTCATCTCCTCTTTAATTTCTGCTTTTGGCCCCACGACTTTGGACTCTGTGCATTTAAAGATCTTGGCCCCAGAGAGGGAATGCTTCTATCATAGGCACAGCAAAAGTCTTATTAAATTTCATATGACGTGTCCCCACCCAACACAGTGGGTTCCTCCGGAGAGGGCAACAGTCAAGGAAAGGAGTTACTATCCATGATTGCCTGATCATCAGGAGGAGGTAGAACTGCAGGAAGAGAAGGAAAAGGGTATGTTGGCACCTCAGTAATCACTCAACTGCCGCTCAATGCGCCTGCATTTGATATTGAGGGTAAAAGGGATAAATGTGGCCAGGTGCAGTGGCTCATGCCTGTAATCCCAGCACTTTGGGAAGCAGAGGTGGGAGGATCGCTGGAGCTCAGGAGTTCAAGGCCAGCCTGGGAAACATGGAGAAATCTCATCACTACGAAAATAAAAATAAAATAAAATAATTAGCTGGGCATGGTGGCATGTACCTGTAGTCCCAGCCACTTGGGAGGCTGAGGTGAGAGGATCACTTGAGCTCCAGAAGTCAAGGCTGCAGTAAGCTAAGATTGTGCCACTGTACTCCAGCCTAGGCAACAGAGCAAGGCCCAGTTTCAAGAAAGAAAAAAAAAAGGAAGGGGGCAGTTGGGGAGGTAAGTACAGCAGCCACAGCCTGAGAAGGGCCTGGTGCTGGGAGGTCAGACCACTCAGGGATGAGGATCTCGATCATCCCACCAGGTGAGCCACCATCTCCATCAGCAGAGGTGCCTGCTAAGGGTTAGGGGAATCTAGGTCGGGCGGTTAAGGGAAATGATGAGCACCATTTGTGTCCTCGAGACCAGCTGCTGTGGCAGGGGCTATAGTTTGTTCCTCTGACTTTCCTTTTACACATTTCCTTCGGGAAGACAGGTCCATCAGAATCCTGAATCAGCTTCTCCCAGAACTTACATAAAAGCCAGTGGATCTGGCTTGGGGCGGTGGCTTATGCCTGTAATCCCAGCACTTTGGGAGGCTGAGGCAGGCAGATCACGACATCAGGAAGTAGAGACCATCCTGGCTAACACAGTGAAACCTCATCTCTACTAAAAATACAACAAATTAGTCGGGCATGGTGGCACACCACCTATAGTCCCAGCTACTCAGGAGGCTGAGGCAGGAGAATTACTTGAACCTGAGAGGCGGAGGTTATAGTGAGCCGAGATCGTGCCACTGCATTCCAGCCTGAGCAACAGAGTGAGACTCCATCTCTGGGAAAAAAAAGTCAGTGGATCTAAGTGGTGCAAGGGGTGGACTATAGCGGAGCCACAGTGTACTGCCCAGATTCCACCATCCATACCCCTCCCCTTAGAACTGAAGCCCTCATCCTCCCAGATGTTGGAAATGTTGGAAGCTGACAGTTTGTAGCTGGTTCTTCTTCCCAGTGATTGCCCTTGGCTAGAGACATCCACCTTGTTCAAGGTCATCCCCCCTTCCTGGAGACTGCTCATGGCCAGTGACTGACAGTCAATGAGAAGTTTTAAAGGAACAACTTTCTTGTCCCAGTTTGGAACACCTTGGGACCAGGCATCCCAGGTCCAGAATTCACCATGGGACCAGCTGATGCCTTTGTTGTGATTTGGTTACAGCCCAGCCTGTCTCTGCCCAGTCCTGGTTTCTTCCCTCCTCCACCTGGGTGATCTGAAAAGCACATTTGAATTAACTTTCTGCATACGAATCTCAGACTCAGAGTGCTGCCTACAGAAACCAACCTGCAACAATATCAAGAGTTGGACCTATCCCTTTCTGTGTCATTTAAAACATTAAGATATCCTTGAGAAAAAAAAAAATTCCCTCTAATGTCCTCTGTTTATATGGAGCAATAGCTTTCTTGATAATATATTAATACCTTATTACTGTTGTATTTTCATCCTTAGCCCTATGCTCTGCTTTTCATCTAGTCCCTAGATGATTAGAAAGCAAGACCTCTTCCATGAGGTTCCTACACATTGCATGGGTTTCTTTAACATGAATTCTGCTTTTTCTTTATTGGGACCATATGTGATAGCCCCTTGAAAATTACATTTTTAGTTCTTCCCAATCTGTTTTTGTTTGTTTGTTTTGTTTTGACAGTCATGCTCTGTCACCCAGGCTGGAGTATAATGGCATTACTTTGACTCACTGCAACCTCCCCTTACCAGATTCAAGCAATTGTCCTGCCTCAGCCTCCCAAGTAGCTGGGATTACAGGCACATGCCATCACACCCAGCTAATTTTTGTAATTTTAGTAGAGATAGGGTTTTACTATATTGCCTAGGCTGGTCTTGAACTCCTGACCTCAAGTGATCCACGTGCCTCAGCCTCCCAAAGTGCTGGGATTACAGGTGTGAGCCACCATGCTCGGCCAGTTCTTCCCAATATTTATAGCTGTGTTTCCTCATCTGCAAATAGGTGTCTGTACATTTCCTTTGAATTTTTTGTGTTCTACTTTTGTAAAGACTAAGAGACATTGCTGACCCAGCCAAAGTATGATTAACTTCTCTTAAAATTCAAATGCCAGTTTAGGCTTGTTCCAGTAGACTCTCCTCCCCTTTTCCCCACATTCTCTAGAGTATGAGCTGGTTGAGAAGCAGGAGAATGCACTATTCAGTACATTGAGAGGTTCTTCCCTGGCAGTGAGTGGGATTCAGAAATATTCTGGAGCCCCCTTTCCTTGCTTGGAGTGAATCTTGCCCTCAGGCCACCCCTGTAAGGCTATGTGCATGGTGTGTGGCCAGCCTGATAGCTGGGCTTCAGCCTGGGTTCCTGGTTTTCTCTTCTATCATCTGCTGGGCCAGGAGCCAAGACTAAGCCCAGTCCAGTTGGCTGAGACTCTGCTTCTCCTAGTTTCTGCCAACTTTGTTGCTGGTATTTCTACTTTAATTCATACGTTGATCCTTGTGCCAAGACGCTGGTCAACAGGATACCAGGAACTCTTGCTTCTCAGAATGCCCCCTCCTCCCCCTGCCCTCAGATCAGGCCCTTCATACTGATGCTGCCCAAATTGCACCTGTTTCCACCCTGACTGCACCTGAGTGCACACTAAGACCTTGAACCTGAACCGTTAGCATCTTGCAGCCTGGGTGAGTTTCCCTGCCCTGTACTGGGCACCTCAGCAAAATCCTCACAGTGAATGCTTCCATACCCATCACTTCAGCTAGTACAGCCGCTTTGACAAATTAGTCCCTGTTAATGAGAATGAAGGCCAGGGTAGTTTGTTCCTCTGATTAGATCCACACCCTCAGAAGGGTAAAATTGCTGACAAAGCAAGTGAAAATGTTACCAGATTTTGAGCATTTATCTTAATGGGGCTTTGTATGAAGATTAAATTTAGGTTTAGTTGTGACCAAAATATCCTGCCTCTTTGTTTCATTCCCTGTTATTAAAACAGTATTCAAAGCCTCCTTCTCAGCAGATGGATTTGTTATTTTCCCACAATTACATTTTCAAAACTTTAACTTCAGAATTGTAGATATTCAAAATGATAGATATCTTACTCCAAAGCAAGAAAGACTTAATTTCTGACAGAAAACAAGCAGTATAAACACATAAACAAACCACAGTGGAACAATTCACTGGGATTTGTAAAATAGAGCACCACCTACACACCAGACACTCTGACATCAACTATATGCCAGAGAGGCTAAATGTCAAGTACCAAGAACCAAGCTGTTCTAAGAATGAGCAGGGAGATAGTGGCTCATCATCAAGCAGTAATAAGATGACTAAGGTCATAATAGACTAATAACTAAGATATTCATTGATCTTTCTAAGGGCTGTTTAGTAGCTTAAAATGTTATATTAAGATATTTGTTACAATTTCTTAAACTAAGATCTCATTTGTAAATGCGTACTCAAAATCATGTGTTAGCATAACCTTTTAAGCAAATTATACATTTCTTGGGCCAATATTAGATTTTATTTTTATTCTGTATCCCTGGTATACATACTGGCCTTAGATAAACCCACGGTGGACAATTTACACACAAACGAAGAATCATTTGCATGTATGAAGCCAGTGAATAGTCTAAATTGCACAACTTACTACCACCCCAGGCAACCCTATCCTTTATAAGATTATCTGTCCCGAGCTCAGTCAGTTTGTAAGTGGCCACCCTGTTTTCCTTCAAACTGGTATTCAGCTAAGTGGACAGGCCAGGCAAATCCACTGGCAGATTCCTTCTCATTATGCTGGAACAATTACTGGAATTTAAGGAATGATATATGAAGCAACATAATTTAAGACCACCAAAGAAGTGACAAGGGAACCATATTTTTGTGTGTCCCAGAAGCTGTCCTGCCTCCAGCTCAACGGATGTCTCTGCAAGTTCAGCGCAGGGCAAATGGAGGGGGCACTCCAACTTCAGGGGCCTTTGCTTAACCTCATGTGCTCCAGGTTGGCTCTTGAGAATTAAAAACCAAAACCCACGTTATAAGCATCTTTCAAATTCTATTAATTGAGCTAGAGATATGGAAATAGATCTAGACAAAATTATGGGGGTGGGGGTGGGGTGAAGAAAGGACAGGAAGCCGCTGTCCTCGAAAGTTTCACAAAACGGAAGCGGGGAACCCAGAGTCACTTTAGCTTCTGAACCGACTTCAGTAAATGTTGGTCTTCTTCATGATCCGAAGGAACTCCTCCTCATTCACTTCGCCGTCCCCGTCCCGATCAGCTTCGTCGATCATCTCCTGCAGCTCCTCATCCGTGAGGTTTTCCCCCAGCTCGTTGGCCACGCGCTTCAGGTTTTTGAACGAGATCTTCCCGGTCTCATCGTCATCAAAGAGCTTGAAGGCCTTCAGAATTTCTTCTTTGGTGTCCTTCTCAGACATCTTCTGAGTCATCACGGCCAGGAAGTCATTGAAGCTGATCTTCCCCGTGCCCTCCTTGTCCACCTCAGAGATCATCTTCTTCATCTCTTCCTTCCTGGGTTCGAAGCCCAGCGCTCTCATGGCCACCTTCAGCTCCTTCACATCGATGGTCCCGCTTCCGTCAGCGTCGAAGAGGTCAAACGCTTCTCTAACTTCTTGCTTCTGATCTTCAGTGAGCTCGGGCTTAGGTACCACCTTTCTCTTCTGGCTGGTGGCAGCAGCGCTGGACTTCTTAAAGCTGGAAGCCATCCTCACGCCGCGGCTGTGACCCCAACGGCGCCGCCCAGCGCTCGCGCCCCGGCACCCCCAGCTGGCGATGCGCGGGGTCCTGGCCTCCCCCACACCCATATCTGCAAGATCTTGTTTACGCGAGAACCCACAGTTCCCTCGGGTTATTACCCGGTTTTCACGCCGACGCCTGAGCTGGCAAGAACAGCCTGTAGCCACAGTTGTATTCTGTAATTCACCGGCGCTGGCAGTTCTTTCCAAGCTGTTTGCCAGCATCCATTAAGACCGCAGTTTTCCTCGGCCTCCCAAAGTGCTGGGATTACAGGTGTAAGCCACCAAAAAAAGAAAAAAACGAGAAAAAAAAAAAAAAGACCACAGTTTTTTTTTTTGTTTGTTTTGTTTTTTTTTTATTTTTTTTTTGTGACGGAGTTTCGCTCTTGTTACCCAGGCTGGAGTGCAATGGCGTGATCTCGGCTCACCGCAACCTCCGCCTCCTGGGTTCAGGCAATTCTCATGCCTCAGCCTCCTGAGTAGCTGGGATTACAGGCACGCGCCACCATGCCCAGCTAATTTTTTGTAGTTTTAGTAGAGACGGAGTTTCACCATGTTGACCAGGTTGGTCTCGATCTCTTGACCTCGTGATCCACCCGCCTCGGCCTCCCAAAGTGCTGGGATTACAGGCTTGAGCCACCGCGCCCGGCCTAAGACCACAGTTTTATAGGTTTCTTTAGAGGCTCTGTTTCTCTTTCTCTCTCCTCTCTCTCTCTCTTTTGACAGGAGGGCACTGGTGCCGTTTGGCTTACTGCAGCCTCCACCTTCCAGGATCAAGCCATCCTCCCATCTCAGCCTCCATAGTAGCTGAGACTACAGGGCGTGCCACCACACCTAGCTAAATTAAAAAATATATATTTTTGTGGAGACAAATCTCACCATGTTGCCCAGGCTGGTCTCAAACTCCTGGGCTCAAGGGATCTTCTCGCCCCAGCCTCCCAAAGTTCTGGAATTACAGGCATGAGCTACCAAGCCTGGCCTCTCCTTTTTATACTAATTAAAAAACCCTTTTGGTCTGGCTGTGACATCTGTCACCATTGGGTGACAGATCCTAAGGGTAAATTTAGGATAATCAAGATTGAGTGTGATCACTTGACATTCAGTGTGGGGAAGGAGAAGGAAGGGAGAACTTAAAAGTCATACTATGTGTTCAACTTGACATAAATGGGAAACAGAGAAAACGCAAAAAGTTATGTATAATATTTGTAGATGTTTGCCTCCTGACATTACACTCAACAATAATAAAATGTTTCTGGCGTGGTCTCAAATAGGAAATGTAATATCCAAATGTATAATTTACTTTCAGTGTTTCCATTTTACATACTCAGTATAATCGCACTTGAATAATGGTCATAATATCATTCACCAGGCTTTTGATTTGGAGGGAGGGAAGTCAAAATACTGCATTCTGGTATTCTAGTATTTTTTTTTTCTCTAAACCCCTAGCAGCATATTATTCTCCTTGCTTATCGTCCAGTCAGAGCAGTGCTGAAATCCACACTCTGGTAGCCTTCCCCTGGCAGTGGGCACAGGAGATGGTGCAGGACATGTTGGGACTCAGAATTTCCTCCTGGGAATAAAGGGGTCCTCCTACAAACCAAAGAGCAAGAGGAACATGGAAAAGAAGGAAAACAGTTACCAAATAAGCCCACCAAGGAATTGCCTGTAGAATTATTGTATTTCTTTACATGTTACAGAAAATAAAGCCGACTTATTTTTTAGCATTCCTCCCCCCTACCCCAAATCTGAATCTATTGATACTTCATAGGTTACAAAAGATGGCACTTCGAAGAGTTCGGGTTAAAGAGTTTTCATGACCGGGTGTGGCGGGTCAGACCTGTAATCCCAGCACTTTGAGAGGCTGAGGCAAGCAGATCACATGAAGTCAGAAGTTCAAGACCAGCCTGGCCAATATGGAGAAACCCCGCCTCTACTAAAATACAAAACATTTCTGGGCATGATGGTGTGTGCCTGTAATCCCAGCTACTTGGGAGTCTGAGACATGGGAATCACTTGAACCCAGGAGGCAGAGGTTGCAGTGAGCAGATATCCTACCACTGCACTACAGCTTAGGCAACAGAGTGAGATTCTGTCTCAAAAAAACAAAGAACAACAAAACAAAACAGTGCTTGATACACAGTAAGTAGGTTAATAAATATTTCTTGAATAAATGAATGGGCAATTAATGTTGGTCCTAAAATACCTTCTGAATCCAACAAGCAAAAACCCCAAAAGATTAAATGATGCCAGGAGTATTTTACAAACTGTTTTTTAAAATTAGCGGTCAGATATTGTTTTACATGGCACATTTAATTAGCCATATCTCACTATCTGCCCCAGTTCGATATGTGACTTAGTTGACAGGAAGTCTGGACACAGGGTTTCTTCTAAAGGCCAAGGAAACTTACGGAAGACCTCCCCTCCCTCGCCTTCAGTACTTGTTGTGGACAGTGTCAACTCAAGGTACACTTTGGCAGGCAGATGCTACAGCTGCTGTTCTTCCAACACTGCAAATCCTTGTGACCTGCTTTCTTCCACGTCAGAAGCCTGGTATCTTATCCCAAGTCCATGCCTTATTATCTCTGTGAACTTGGGAAAGTCACTTAAACCTCCCAGGGTCATGGAAACACCTGCAAAGTAGGCACCATCATAAAGCTTCCTATGGCATTTTCGGTGGGATAATGTACATGAAAGCTCCAGGAACAGTGCCCCTGTGGGACCATACAGTTCTGGGTAATTGTTAGCTGAATCTGAATTTTTCCCAGACACTGTACATTTCCTTTGGCACCCACGCCTCTGCCCAAATTCAAGCCAAGCTATGATGTGTTGGGAAAAACTGAAGTATAGAAGCTGCCTTATACAGAGCTACATTTGGGCCAAGCTGAACTCAAAGCAAAATGGTTGTCATGGTTTCCAGATGTGTGCAATCAACAGTCACAACAAAGGGCCACCAACAGCTCCCTTCATAGAAACAGTGCCCATAGGCAGAGTCAGCTCTTCGTGGGGAGTTACTTTATGTTCAAACTCTGACTTAAAAAGGGAAAGGAAACACATTTACTGTGTGCCTAGCATTGGGCTTGCTTCTTATAGTTGTCATCTTATTTGATCCTTGCCATCATTTCCCATTTTGCAGGTTAAAAAAATGAGGCCCAGGAGAGGCCTGTAACACATACCTAATGGTATGTGGCCAATAAAGGGTGGCTCTGGGATTTAACTCTTGGCCCGTTCACTACATCATGCCACCTTCTCCACAAGTTGAGACTGTTACCAAAATACAGAATCGCTGGGAAGCCATGGTACTGATTTTGTTACAGTAGGTAGCTAGCCAGGCATGAGCAGGGCAGAGGAGGGCTCCTCCTCCCAACCTGCCAGGAATGTCAGGTGAGGATCAGGGGATGGTTTGGCGGTTGTCACACTGCCTCTCTAAAATGATCATTGGTCATGGCCACACCAGGGAGAGGCAGTTTCCCAATAGATGAAAACGTTTGAAATTGGTCATTGTTAGCTTCCAATAAGATCTCAGGAATTGGGCCAGTGGGCTTGAGCATGCGCATTAAGAGACAAAATGGCGCAGTATGACCTTCTTGGGGCGTTCCACTGGAAAATGGAAGAAAGCCTCAGGTGAGCACGCATACAACTTCTTAAACGCACTGCACATGCTCACCTCCCAGCACAAGCAGGGCACGACACATGCAGGCGGCTCCCCCTAAGGGAAGAATGAGGAAAAGGGGCACAAGACACGGAAAACAGGCCAGCATATAAAATCCTAGGTTAAAGATAAAACCCGGCACTTGACCTCCAAGGTGTCCACTTGGCTGTCTTCCAAGTGTACCTGTGAAGCAGCCTTGTTGTCTGCGGTGACACCCAAGGTTCTCGGTCTCATGGCCACAGAGATCGAGGATGCGAAACACAAAAGGTGAGGTTTAGAGCAGAATTTTAATAGGTGAAAGAAAGAGAATAGCTCTCTGCTACAGAGAGGGGTCCCGGAAAAATGGGTAGCTGATCCGTGGTTAAATGCAGGGGGTTTTATAGATGAGCTAGTGTGGAGGCGGTGTCTGATCTACATAGGGCGTGAAAAACTGGTTAGGACTAGGTGTGCCATCTGCATAGGACGTGAATCTATGACCGCCCCCACCCCATCTTTTATTATGCAGGTGGGTAGCTACTCCATGTTGCTTATTTCTTTTTTACTTACTGTGCATGTGCTAAAAACAGAAGGGTGGTGGAGCCCCCATGGTGGACCTGACGGGACCCAGCTAGTCCTTTCTAGCTGTGCAGCTCCTGGCATCCCCTTGTGCCAGTTTCCAGCTTCCTTATCTATGTTTGCAGCCCAGTCTCCTAAGCTGCTCTTTGTTAGAAAAGAAGTGATTTCTTAGGCTGGGCGTGGTGGCTCACGCCTGTAATCCAAGCACTTTGGAGGCCAAGGCGGGCGGATCACCTGAGGTCGGGAGTTCAAGACCAGCCTGACCAACATGGTGAAACCCCGTCTTTAAAAAATAAATAAATAAATAAATAAATAATTTAAAAATAAAAAATACATAAATAAGTAAAAATAAAGAAAAAAGAAGTGATTTCTTGGGCTGCTTTTTGTTAGAAGGGAAGTTCTGCCGAGGACTCTTGCCCTCATTATCTGTTTAAAATAATTTCTTTTTGTCTCCTGTATCACTTGCTTCATGTTCCTGTTCTAAAGTGGCTTTTTTTTTTTTTTTTTTTTTTTTTTAGGTAGAGTTTCACTTGGTCACCAGGCGCCAGGCTGGGGTGCAGTGGCGCGACCTCGGCTCACTGCAACCTCCACCTCCCGGGTTCAAGCAATTCTCCTGCCTCAGCCTCCCGAGTAGCTGGGACTACAGGCACGTGCACCACACCCAGCTAATTTTTTTGTATTTTTAGTAGAGACGGGGTTTCACCACGTTGGCCCAGATGGTCTCTATCTCTTGACCTCCTGATCCGCCCGCCTGGACCTCCCAAAGTGCTAGGATTACAGGCGTGAGCTAAAGTGTTTTAATA